GATTGGGAGTGCAATGACTGGATTCCCAGAACCAGCACCCTCTGCCTTTACTAAACTCTTAACACTAGTGCAACCCAGGAGGACTAAAACTGGTGAAAAAACACACTGCTACAGGATCAACCCTCGGTTGAAGGAACCTTGCATTGTAGTTTTGACTACACCTGCAACTGTAAAAGTGAATAACCTCACACTGTGGATTCATCACACACATCTGAAGTTGACACATCCCTACTTGTAATGGCAAATCTTCAAGGACCCCAATCAACCTCTCAAGCTAAGATTATCTCATTCCTCTATTTCTCAGTCTTGACTTACTTATGTTTATGCACATGTTGGTCACAGGGCTTTTACTGGAAAATATCTCCCACTCAGTTTTAATGGAACCCCTATGTATATTCATGCTCCCCAAAACACTTGTTTTTTCTTACTCATTTGGCCTAGACACCTGTATATTTACTTATGCATTCAGTATTTCTGAAAAACCTGTGTTTTGCACCTTAGTACATGTGATACCCCAGATCGATGTATATGAAGGAGACCAGGGCCTAGCCTTACTAACAGCCCCAGAATACCTCAGGCATAAAAGAGTTCCCATATTAATTCCCCTACTTGTGGGATTGGGAATTGCAGGGTCTGCAGCCACAGGAATCTCAGCCTTTATCACTGAGGACCAGGGCTTGAGGGGACTAACCCAAAGCATCAACATGGATTTAAGTGGACTAGAACTCTCTATCTCAGAGCTCTCAAAGCAAGTTGAATCCCTAGCTGAGGTAACCTTACAAACTAGAAGGAGACCAGACTTACTATTCCTAAAACAGGGTGGACTATGTGCTGCTCTAGGAGAAGAATGTTGTTTTCATGGTAATAGAACAGGAGTAATCAAAGAAACACTGGCCCTGGTACGAAAAAAAAATATAAAAGAAAGGTAAAATGCACTAAACTCAAGTAAAGGATGGTACCAAAACTTATTTGACTGGTCATCATGGGCAACACCCTTATTACCAGCCGGATTGGTCCACAAATGTTACTTCTACTTGGTCTCATCATTGGACCCTGCCTGTTCAATGCCCTAATCAAGTTCATACGGAATGGGGTTGGGGCTGTGAAACTCATGGTTCTTAGAACCCAGTACACAACCATTGATACTCAAGAATAGAATAATGAATCAATGATTTGATTCTCAAACAAAAACAAAAGGGAATGAAGTAAGTGACTCCATTTTGTAACTCTATTTTTGTAATGTTCAGCTACTGCTGGTAATATCTTGTTAAAACTCCATTTTATGTGGCTGAAGTAAACATCTCATCCTGTCCCCACCCCCCAGTGAATTAGGGAGTGCTCCTTTTGTCTTTTTCTTCTCCTCCCTCCTAGGCACATAAAGCAGCTAAATCACCCCTCAATGAACACCTGTGCTAGAATACATACTTTTGGGGGTTTATCAGAACTAACTCCCATCACCCCTCAATGACACCTGTGCTAGAATATGTACATTGGAGTGATTATCAGAACTAACTCCCTTCACCCCTTGATGAATGCCTGTGCCAAAGCACATACTCTAAGACCTTGAAACTGCAGCTTCTGCTTCTGTATTATCACTTGCTTGCCTGCTTTATAAAGCCTGCCTAAAATCAGACTTTTTGCTGCAGCATAGGAGTGCACTTCAGCTCTCTGCAGTCGGCTAGCCTAAATAAAACTCTGTTACCCAAAAGTGGACGTTGTAGTGGCTATTATTTTAAACTGAACCCATAACAATATATTACTATTCTCTCTGCCACCCAGGTTTCCCTGACTTCTACAAATTTACTCATATGTAAAAGCAACCAAACACTCATCAAACAGAAGGAGAAATATACACCTGAATGATTAACAAATAGTGAAATAGAATTGAAAGAGGCAATAATACCTTTTGGATTCCCTTCTCCACTTATACATATTAGCATTATATCAGTTAATTCATTGAGAGACTATTTAATTTGCAATTAACTTTGTCTATACTAAGATTGGGAGCTTGGTGGAATAGTGCCTAAGACATTTGACTACTAAGCAAAAGACTGGTGGTTCAAACCCACCAGCCACTATTCGGAAGGAAGACTAGGCAATCTCCTTCTGTAGAGATACTGTCTTGGAAATCCAAGGAGGGACCGCTACAAGTGGGAATCCACTTGACAGCAGTGAGTTTGGTGGTTTATTTTTTGTATTTATTTATTTAGTTTTTTGGCATACTAAGATTAAATGATATTCTGCTCAAAACTTTTTCTCTATATACTAAAGCAAGAATAACTTAGTTAAGATGTGTTAGGAGGCAAAATATATTAATTTTAATTTTAAATATACATTTTAGCTTAATTTTTAAGAGTACTGTTCAAACTAGAACTGTGAAATAAAATTAAACAAAAGTGACATCTATTAGGATAATTTGAGCAGGGTTTTTTTTGGTATGTGTAGTTTTTTAATGAATAAAATAAAGATCAATGAAGAGTTTTGTCAAGATATATATCTATTTCATTAAGGAAAATAGTAAAAATGAATATTCAAACATGACTATGCTCAACTCTCTCTCTCAGTGATTCTGGCTTATGGCAACCCCATGGAACAGAGTAACTGTTACAGGACCAAACGCCTGGTGCACAGTCAGGCCAAAACAGTTAACACACCGAGATGGAGAGGAGAGAAAATTATTTATTGCAAAGCTGCAATGCAAGGAGTAGAGGTAACCTGTACCCAGATCTGACTCCCTAAATGCCCTCAGAATACATCTTTTGTAGATGTTTCAGGAGAGGGGTTTATGCATATTCACAAAAGGTTGAGAAATTTGGGGCATGAATGTGAAATGTGTGATGATTGCACCTGGAGGGAGGCGGATGAGTCACACCAGCTTCCTGTCATCAGCTGATAGGGGTGTGGGCAGAGGGGAGAGGGTCAGTGATTAACTTTTGTTCCTTTCTGCCCTATTGTGCATAGCATGTCCTGGCACGAGTTAATTTACAAGTTGTTTCTAAGACACTTTTAGCTGTCTATCACCTGCAGGAAAGAATGTTTTCTTTGTATTCAGTTCTTTAAGGAACTGAATACTCATCTGCCTGGGGTGGGGAAATAGTTTGGGGTAATTTAGTTTACTTATCTATTCCCATCTAAGTACCTGGGTGAGGAAAATAGTTTGGGGAAATTCAGTTTACTTATCTATTCCCATCCAGGTACCAGGGTGGGGGAAATAGTTTTTACTTTCCTTAGTCTCATAACCATAGGATTTCCAAGGCTGTAAATCTTTATAGAAACAGACTGCCTCATCTTTCTCCTATGGAGCAGTTGGTGGTTTTGAATCACCAACCTTTTGGTTAGCAGCTTAACGCTTTAATCATTATGTGTATGCAAAGTTTATCAAAATTTTATTTTGATTTTTTCCTTTTCTTATACATCTGTTCTATTTACTCAAAAAATTCAGCAGTTTATTTTAAATGTCTATACTCAATCTTAACACATGTAAAATATAACACAATACAAAGATGTAATTCATCAGAACAATTTTGTCTGCTTGCATGAAGGGATTATAGAGAAATATCTGCATTTTGTTCAGTTCCTATTCAGTGATTAAAAACAATAACAGCAACAAAAAAAATGTCCCATGGTAAAGGCCTTACAAAGTTCTATTATCTATTTCTTAGTTGGAAAGGAAGAACTAAAGGAAAAATTCTAATTTTAGAGAGCTTTGATTCACTAGCTGTTGGATTATGATAACCTAATTTACCAAATTGGAGAGTCAAAGATAATCTGAGATGTCTTTGAATGCAAATTATGCATACCTGAAATTTATACCATGGGGGAACTGTAGGCAAATTCAAAGAGCTTGCTGCTAGTCCCAGGTGCCAAAGCAGGATTGCAAACCTTAGTGTGGGCTCCCAGTTAATGTGTTAATGAATGTCAGGACTATAAAACCTCACATTTCAGTTATTGAGAACAGGCTTCATCTTCTAAATCACAAAGTTTTAAGAGAGTTTTATTTTATTTTCAGAGTCTTATTTATCAACATTCAATTCTTATATCAACTTTCTGATAGAATTTATTTGCTAATAGATTCTTGTGGTTGAAGAATATTAGGCATGATTTATCTAAAAAAGTGAAAGGTATGTATCTTTCTTGTTAATGAAAAATCTATCACCTGTGGATATGTTATTTAAATTGCAGTGAAGTAACTCTTGAGAAATTCAATACCCCATAAAGGTCACGTTTTATAAATAAAGGTCATATTAAAGAGAATGTTCTGAGCTTTCAGCTACTAAATTTGGGACTGTTGACAGCAATTAGTACACCTAATCTACCAATGTTTATTGACAGTATGAGGATCACCTGGAGGCATTTTACAAAAAGGCAGATTTCCCTGAATCCGGAGGAATTTGGGTTGGTCTCAGAATATACATTTTTAACAAACTATCCCTGGTGATTCTCATGCTGATTGTCAACAGAGTGCCCAGTGCTAAAAGCTTAGCAATCATCTGGTCTTGACAGCCAATTACAGAGTAGTAAACATAGATTCAAGTTCATTCAAGGATGCCTTCTCATATATTTAAAAAAAAAAAAAAAGTGCTGAATTAAAATAATAATAATAATGGCCATAAATACAAAGATTAAATTTGTAATTTGTTTCTCAACAATCTTTTGTTTTAAAAGCATCCCTTGTGCATCAATATGGATACATGAAACGCGCTTTTTGGCTCATTTCAGTATAAAAATGATCAATATACAAACCTTGCACATACACATCTTTTAGTTATCCAGACACTTAATTGTAAAGATTAACTATATTTAGCATAACACAAAAGACATTTACATGATTGCAGAGCTATTTTTTTAAGTTTATTCAAATAATTATTAAATTATCTTAGCTTTTAATAAAATCAGTAGATTTTTATTAAATTTGTAAAGTGCAAGAGTAGTAACATAAAATAAATGTTTGAGACTAAGTACATCATCAATAGCATTAATCTACCAGATGTAACACTCACCTATACTTTCCCCATCATCCCAAAACAGAGATCCTTGTGCCATCTGATTATCGTCTGCAGCAACAATGAGTTCCATGTAATTTTGTCGACTATTAAAAAGAATATATCATTTTACTCATGTTTGTAAAATAGCATATGTCTAATCATGATCTGGTATCCATATATGTATAGGTAAAAAAAAACAACAACACAAATAATTATACATACTAATGAAAGAGAATACAAACTGTTTTAGACAAAGGTAAATAAAGGACTTTTCTTTTTCAGTAAGGTAATAAAATCCTTCGTATTTAATAGATGATATTATATATTTCTTTTTTTTATCTCAGAAGTTCACCTACTGTTACAAATCAGAAGTGACCTCATTTATAATAATTAAAACCCCTTTAAATCCATGGATATATTTATTTGTTCTTCTCTCTGGTAGTACTCTAATTGGCCATTAAACAATAAACTATTTTAATAGCATACTTTGTATTTCATGGTTTAAGCCTTTCTCACATTTCTATATACAAATCAATCATTGAGTTATCATTTTGGTTATTAATTAGAGTTTATAGAGTAACCAGCAAATTCTAAGTCCTATTCTAAGAGTGGAACATACCTCCCAACCTTGTGCCTACATAGGCCAATCCTTGAACAAAACACCTGCTTCCATGCTCATTGCATAGCAATTTGTAGAGAGCAATTTGGCTTGACAGACTCATATTGCTAAGGATGGATTTCTTAATCATACTATACTTAGCTATATGCCTTTTCTAATCAAAAATGCTGAAGGTTATAATCTCATAGAAATTTCCTTAAACACTCAGGATAACTAGAGTTCAAATATCCATAGTAATTGGGTGTTTTCAAGATAAAAGTTATTCACATGTCTTAGCATGTATACTGTTCATATATATGTCTTATATATGTGTACACTCATATATTTTTATATTTCAGTTCACATCCACTGTGATAAAAGATACGTATATTTTATTAGCAAAATTAAAAAGCCATTTTCACTCACAATTCTCCAATATGCATAATTGGAAACAATAGTTCCATAACTTATAATCTACCATATTTTTACTCCTAAACCTCATAGTTATTTATTGGCTCTCAGACATATACACACAGAATGGCCTCTCTCCTCATTCATAATAAAAAAAGTGAAAATATTTTAAGGTATAACCATGACTAGTCTCCACCATAAAGCCTTCATTATCAAGTAGAATATATTTTTTTCCTCTGTGATTTGATATCAGGTTAGAATATTATTGTAACTGGAGCTTGGTATTAACAAGAGATGGCAATAGTCTATTCAAGTCAGCTGGAATTGCCAACAGGTAGAATTTGAGGACAGTGCATATGACATGAGAAAAGATGAACAAAGACTGAGTCCTCTAGAATCTGAACATCTGAGGTAAGTGTTCAGATTCTGTGATGGGCTTAAAAGACTCACTCTCACATTGGTTACAGGGGACAGAGTGGACCCATGGTCCTTGTGAGAGAGATATATTGCTCTGTGAGGGGGAACAAATAACAACAGGTAAAGGACTTTTGACAAAGAAGGGAAGGTCTTGGCCAGATGGTCAGTTCTGAATGGAGAGAGAAAAATATATGTCAATATTTATCCTAATCCAAGGCAAGGCTGCTAAGAAACAGGTGTGCTTCCACCCTGGACAGTAGGGAACTTAGTGGCTGGACAAGGTAGTGATCTTGTCAGTGGATATCTACAGGTTCATGGGCTATTGTTGTTAGCTGACCCTGATCCTTAAAAGCTTTTAAGACTGTGACCTTTTAGAAGTGGATTACCAGGCCTTTCACCCAGGTTGTCTCTGGGTGGATTCAAACTGCCAACCTTTCAGCAAATTGTCAAGTGCTTACACTTTTGTACCACCCAGGGTCTCTTTCTATAGACCAGTGTACGTCCAAAAATATCTCATGGGATAGACAGAAGAAAGCAGAGAAAATGAAAGAGAAAAGAGATGTTAAAGATAATCTTCTACAACATCATTGGCTGATGGTTTATAAAAAGCCTTATAAAGGCAAGCCTAATATTTTCATAGAACCACAGAACAAACACATTGCCATCAAGTCAATTCCAATTCATAGCAACCCTATAGGACAGAGTAGTAAAACTGCCCCCAGGGCGTATCCAAGGCTGTAATCTTTTCAGAAGCAGACTGCCTCATCTTTTTCCCTCAGAGTGGCTGCAGACCTTTTTGTTAGCAGCCACATTCTTTTATTCATTGTGCTACCAGCCCTTCTCTTATATTTTCATATAGTAAACAATAATCTTCTCCACAATGTAAGAGATTGAAAGAAAGGTAAGAACTTAAGTGAGGCCCTCATTCAAAATAAACTGATCATTTGTCAATTGTCTGCATTTTATATACAGAAGACATGGTTTCCATTTATATTTGATCCTGGGACACTTTCCTACTTTAGAGAAAGCATTTTCTGGGATAAAAACTGTCCAAAAGTCTCCTGCATTTCTGCACATCTTGCAAGCAGAGACCCTTTCAGTTTTTCTTCTTAACTATCTTTAGTAGGCTATTTTGAAAGCAAATATCATTGGAAGACAGAGGGCAGGGTATTTTTGTTGTTTGTTTGTTTGTTTACTGTCCAGTATAATATCGTTTTTCACCAAAGTAAAGAGGATATGTAAGTTTGTTTTCAGTTCATTTTGTTTGCTTGCAATTCATTATAAAAGATTTAGGTTTCCTTATCTGTGAGCTCTGGTGGCATAGTGCCTAAGACATCTGACTGCTAACCGGAAGGTTGATGATTCAAACCCACCAGTCATTCTGCAAAATGAAGACTGGAAAATCTACTTTCATAAAGATTTACCGCCTTGGAAATCCAAAGGGGGTCATTATGAGTCGGAATCAACTCAAGGGCAGTGAGTTCATCTTTCTGTTATTTTTAGCTAGGACCCAAACTCACTGCATGTGCAACCTCCATATGTGACATTCTGTGTCACTCCACAGATCTTGTGAGACAAGGAAAACTGAAGCATGAAGCTCATGCTTCTTTCTGTGCCATGAGTAACAAAGTTCTTTGTCTCTGACCCAGCATCCACGAAACCATGGCAAGGCTAAGTTTTTAGCTTGCAACTAAAATCAGTTCTTATCAATTCTTTGATGATATATGTCAAAGTTTAACTGTAAACTCAGTAATACTTCACTTACCTGAAAAATGTGTTCTGAGCAGGCTCTTGGCATGGTAGGATGTGGCCACCTCGGACATGTAGGTTTATTTTATCAAAAGAAGCATTAAAAGTATTAAATTGTCCTCTCAAACCAATATCTTGGCCCTGGGAATGAGAGGGTTGGGAGGAAGAATGAGAGCAGCAAGAAGTGGAAATATCAGCAGCATTGATGCTCCCATTTACTTGAGGGGGAATATTTATTTAATTGAATAATTCTGTTTCCAGTTAGAAAAAGAATGAAAACACTAACACTTTATTTAGGAAATCATGTTGGTTAAATCATAGCAGTGGCATTTGATTTAATGATGACTCTAAGGCAACTTAAAGCTACTTGTGTTTGTGGAGCTCACATATAGGAAATTTGTAGATTTGGGAAAGGTCACAAAAAACTCTGACTTGTCATGTACATTATTTTTAAAAGAACCACATCCCTTTTAATGATCATTTTGCATTTCCAATAAAGGGCAATGGCTTTTTTCTGTATATTATATGTACTTTCCATGTTTAACAAACAATAGAATAAATATATAAACTCTGTCACTGTGTATTAATTTGGTCCGGGTCAATTAGCAAGAAATAGCTTGTTCTTTTTCTATGTAAAATAATCCAAATACATCATTAATGAAAAGGTTATTGTGAAATGGTTACCCATACATATCTGTTAAATCAGTTCCCCAGAATTTGCTAAATACTTACTGTGTGATAATCAAACCATCGAGCATTAGGGACATAGCCTCTTACACTTTCAACATTCTGGAATTCAAAGATATACTAATTAATATACACACACACACACACACACACACACATATATATATATATGGCAATGAAAAATAATTTTTGTGTGAAAAATATCCTTTTTCAGTACTTACAGGTTCTAATACAGGAGTAACCATAAATGCAGGCCCCCACAAAAACTGCTTATATATATCCCAGGTTGCCTTTTCATCAAAGAACCTTGACAAAATAATTGCAAATGATTAAATCAAAGAAGTTTATCTCTTCTGAATACTATAAAATAATTTTTCAAATTTCATTTTGTAGTATGGACTTTTGTATAAAAATCAAAATCAAAACATTACAAAATCAGACAATTTTATCACTTGGAATTCAGTGTGAGTAGTAATACATCATGAGTAAATCTAGACTATGACTAAATTTCCTTACAAAACACAGAGAACTTTATTGAACCTGTAAGCCCAACTGAAAGAGAAATATCCTTGGAAAAAAACTTGTATAAGTATTACTATTCCCTAATATATGATAAACACACTAAGAAGCAAACTTAAAAACCTCTGGGAGAGAATCATGCAATAAATATTCTACAAGAATCTTCATTTGGTAACTTTAAAAGAATTTGTTTATCCTACTTAAGGAGCTCTGGTAGCACAGTGCCTAAGGCACTTGACTGCTAACCAGAAGGCTGGCGGTTCAAACCCACCAGCCACTCCTCGGAAGGAAGGTTGGGCAATCCTACTTCTGTAGTGATACTGCCTTGGAAACCCAAGGAGGGGTCGCTATGAGTCGGGGCCGACTCGACGGCAAATAACAACAACAAAAACAGCAACTTAAGTCAGAACTCACAAAGTAGTAAATTTCAAAGTGCTTATTATACATTCTTAGATATATTGATAAATTTCTAAATTTAAAGTAAAATGTTTGGGAAAATGAAATATTATTTTTATAGTTTGATAATGTTGTTGCTATTGTTAGTTGCCATTGAGTTGGCTCCAACTCGAGAAAACTTTATGTACAATGGAAGGGAATGCGCCTTGTTCAGTTAACTTGGTAATCTAGGGTGCATAAGTTACTAAGTCTATCATGATTATTTTATTAAGGATTATTTTTTTGTATGTGTGTTTTTTCTTAAATTGCATGTCTGTTCGTTTGTTTTAGTAACATTCACAGTGCATATGCCTGAAAGCTAACCCATGCCAAAAAAAAAAAAAAAAAATATCCAGCTAAACTCCCTGGAATATAATTTTCAGTATTTATTTATGTATAGGTTTGACCTTTATGGAGTGACTCTGTAACAAATTTCTGAGAAGAACGTTGAAATTGTTCTAGGCTATCCTATTAGCTCTCCTTCAGAAAGAAATAGCATGGCCTTCATCAGTATCAGACAGGCACCTGTCTATAGTAGATTTACTTAACTTCCATGAGCTTCACAAATTTACTTACAAAAGAAGGATAATAATAGTTATTTCTGAATATTTTTGAAAACATTTAATGTAATACTATATGCAATATATTTAGAATAATATCTGATACACTCTAGATGAATTCTTACATTTCAAAAATTAATGTATTTCATTCTATAGTGATCTATATTCATTAGTGTGCTTAGTAGTAGAGACACATATGTTAATATTTCATTAACCCTAAATATATTCTACAATAATAATGAAACATTTTCCAATCTAAAATGTTCTATTATTGTACTATAAGAGATTACTGAGTAAATTAAATCAAAAGTATCTCTCTATGGTAGGGGAAAAAAAACTGCACTTACTCATGCAAAAGGGGTCTAATTACAGTGCCACCATGAGCATGGATTTCATGCATTTGTGTATAGAAATAAGGCAATAATGTGTATCTGATTTTTAGAACATCTCTTGACATTTCAGAAAAAGTTTCATTCCAGGATGCAGGGTCTTGTCTCTGCAATAAGGCAAAATAAAATAATACATTAATAATACATTTCATTTTAAATCTTAAAATTTAGATGTACATTTGGAGAATATAATGTAAAAAAAATTAATCTCTGCCATGTACTATGTAATTTCTTCACAAAATGAACATGCAATAATATGTCTCCTTGTCATATGAGAGAGACAGAGGAAGAGAGAAGAGAGAGAGAGCAAGCACCCATAATAGTAATCTCTTAATAAGCAACAAGGAAAAATGATTCTGTCAATTTGTATATTTCCTTTAGTTAAGCCCATGACTTGACAAAATTTATGTATAAACATATATTAATTCATTTTTTTTAAATAAATGACATAATACATTTTCAAATAGAGTGGTGGGGTGATAAATCTATTAAAAGAATGGAATGACATGCCACACAAAAGAGAGAGAATTAAGCAGAGACATGTAGAGCCCATCATGAAAATCTTGCACATTGTCCTTGAGGCAAATAGATGTATAATGGAACTAAATGAATACTAGTATTAGTAGTATAGGTACTCTGGTGGCATAGTGCCTAAGGCATTTGACTGTTAACCAAAAGACTAGTGGTTCAAACCCACCAGCCACTTCTTGGAAGGAAAACTGGACAATCAACTTCCACAGAGATACTGCCTTGAAAACCCAAGGAGAGGTTGCTATGAGTCAGTCAAACCTGACTTGACAGCAGTGAGTTTTTTTTTTTTTTTTTTTTTAGTAGTAGTATAAAAGTATTATTAATAGTAGTACTAATTGCATCAAAAAATAATAATAATATGGAAGGACCTAACCTTGTGTTAAAGTAAAGAACATGCCCATATCTCTTCTGGAATTCAAGTTCCAGGTCTGAAGGTTGAAGTTGATAAGAGAAAGATTAAAACCCTATAAAAATAATATTGTGGCACATATTTCTTGAAAAAAATAATAGACAAGGGGTATGATGATTATTTTATAGTTTCATTTGTACCAGGGGAAGAAATAAGGCTACAATAGTGCATAATTCCAGGAGACAACACTGTCAGTGTTCTTTGTTGATATAAAGATGGTTAATGACCTATAGAACTGTGTCTTATCTATGGAGATTCCAAATTTTCTAGATTTCAGGAATAAGAAAGCTTGACATGCCTTTGACAACAGAATGTTATCACTGATTTGTGTAGTGTGAAAGCAGGTGAAACATTGAAAGTAAATTACATCTAAGAACTGCTAAGAAGATTTAAAATATATATTTGTTGTTTATTTAGTCTATAAAAATAAGTTCAGTTTTAACATGCTAATATGCAGGTATATAATTCTAAGTTAGACATTCCAGAGTTCAGTTTTCTTAATCCACAATTAAATTAAATGAAATATCTGTTCCATGAATTTTTATTTAGAAATACCTTCTCTACCTCTGTTTATGTCATGATTTCATCTTTCCTCAAAAACTCCAACCACCTTCCCATTGTGGGGTCTTTTGCTTGTTCCCCCCAACTGGAATTCTCATCATCATCATCTTTGTATTTGTTGCTTTCTTTCACTAAAGTCTCTGCTCAAATACCATTTCATCCAAGAAGACCTTCCTCCCTATGCACCATCTAAAACAGAACGCCCATCAATTTCTTACTCTTTTTTTCCCGTAATACACATCTGTTTGTACTTGACTTACACACACATAAATAGTTATAATTTTCTATTTCCTCTAGAAAATGTGAATTACTAGGATAAGTATTAATAAATATTAAATAATAAACTCTCAATATATGTTTGTTCAATTAATACCTATATAGGCTTTTACTGATTCATGTCCCACTTCCCCAACATTACGGTCATCTACACTACACCACTTAGACACTACTCATCTGTCATTTTGTCATACTGTGGTGGCTTGTGTGTTATTGTGAGGCTGGAGGCTATGCCAGTAGTATTTCAAATACTAGTAGGGTCACCCATGGTGGACAGGTTTCAGCAGAGCTTCCAGACTAAGATAGTCTCAGAAGAAGGAAGGGGCCAACCATTTTTCAAACAGTTGGCCAAAACAATGAAAAAATCTATCCTGGAAGAAGTGCAGCTAGAATGCTCCTTGGAAGTGAGAATGGCACACTTGGTCTCACCTATTTTGGTTAGGTTGTCAGAAGGCACCATTCTCTGGAGAAAGATATCATGCTTGGCAAAGTGGAGGGTCAGTAAAGAACGGGTAGGCTCTCAATGAGATGGATTGACACAGTGGCTGCAATGATGTGTTCAGGTATAGCAAGGTTTGTGAGGCTGGTATGGGACCTGGCAGTGTTTCATTCTGTTGTTCATAGGGTTTCTACGAGTCGGAGCTGACTCAATGACATTTAACAACAACATTACATTTCTGACTGCAAGCCTTCCATTATAATATTTCTATGCCATCAAGTTATGTCTGCACTTGTAATTTCTTCACAAAATGCTCAACTTACAAATTCTTCCACAATTTGGTCTGATAAGTGGTTTCTATTCTTCCAGTATTTTCTAAAACAAATCCTCTCTTCTACTCTAATTTATCAGAATTGGCACAAACGTTTCATAGCACATTATAAGCACACTTTAGCCATGCCTGAAAGGCTTCCTCCTTTCCACTACACCCACCTAAATTTAACACAATTCAAAATCCTCCTTGTTCTTCATGAAGTGCATTATGCTGAATTTTCTTCCTCTGAGCTTCCCAGCAATTTAATAAAGCTTTCAGTGTGTATAGTTACTTCACCACACAAATTTAGTTAAGAATACTTTTCCTTTGTTTCTTTAGTTTTCCATCTCATTGTTTTTCACATTTCCTTTTAAATTCACCAATCTCGTGTAGTGATTTTTTTTTAAGTGATTTTTCACTTACAACTGTTTGGTTTATTTATTTTGCCCCATAGTGAAAATGCAGAGGTAGATTTATTCTCCCCCTGGATACTCCATAATTTTATAGAACAGCAATAAGTGTGCCATTAACCAAGCCACCTACACCAAATTATGAAGAAGAACAGCCCAGGTCAGAAAATCCTCAAATTAATGGGTTCAGATATCTTGGTAAATATAAAGACAAGTAGTTTAAAGCATGGATCTAGAAATCAGTCAGGTAATGTGCAAGCTATTCAAAAACTGAATTGGTGGGAAAAAAATGATAGAAAGCAAATATAGTAAGTACATACTCTAGTATTTGCAATATTGTGATTTCTTGAGTATGGATAAAATGCTCCAAGTTGTGTCCAGCGGGCACAGAGATGATATTCCGAATCGTTGAAGAAGCCACAGATATCTGCACCAGTCTAAAATATATTGTTATATTTAATTATTTTACAACAGTTTTTTTCCCCTAAATATTTATAAAATATGGAAACAAAAAGAATACAGCTACTTACATATGATATTCCAAAGAGGCTAAATTCCATCATACCTGAAATAAATTAGGAAAAATAATCTAAGAAAATTGTCATTTCGTGTATTTTAATGTTTTTTTTTCTATTTATGAAGATGCTGTCTTCCTAATATTAACCTCCAATTCAATTAAATATTTTCTTAGATTATTAAGATAATACTTCCTTTCATTTCTTCCTCTAATACTCATACTTTTTGATTGCATAGTATTATGATGTTATACAAGTAGGACACTATAAGCTTTCTTGACCCTTGAAATATGACATATTTCGAGAACAAATCTGTTATGAACACATTATGTTGAGAACAATGTGTGGGTTTCTCTGATTTGATATTTTCAAAATAAAGAGGTTGGCTGTGCAGTTATGTAACCGTAGTTATCATCAATTGAAACAAATTGAATTATTAGATTATTAGTTAAAATTCTGTGAGGAATATCACTTCAATTTCTCAGCCCTTCTTGGAAGGGAACATTTTAAAACACTAATTGTTTTCCTTAGCAATAATATATCCATAACAAAAATTTTAAGATTAGAAGTGGAAAAGAAAAGTGCCCATTTCACCTTTAAAAAGATAATATATTATGTCTTATTTGTTCAGTCATTGTCAAAAGTCTATTTCAAATTTTGACTTAAAATGCTTCATTTGTTAATATCTATCTGTGATCATTATTCAATAGAACTTAGAATTTCTGCCTTTTTCTCTTTTTTATTCCTAGTTAATATCTTTCCCAAAGCCTGCTTTTCCAACTAGGAAACTGAGACCAAAAGGGGTAAAATTACCTTTTCAAACAGAGCTAGCTCATTATCATTAGTTTCTACACATCATCTGTGATCCTACTTCCCTGCGCACTAACTTTTCATGAGGCTATAGTGTCATAAAAGATGCCAAAAGCATAGTTTTGAGGTAGACTCATAAAGTATATGATCTATCACCTACCACAGTGAATATATAATAAAAGACTCAAAAAAGATAATAATAAAGATCACATACCAATGATTGATTTGTCCAAATTGTCCCATCGTGCATAGTTATCTCCAAGCCAGTGTCCTCCCCATCGTCCAACAGTAGGATATGTGGAGCGGGAAATAACAATCCCTCTTTTCCCAGTTGTTTTCTGCAATGCACTAATACAGATGAAGACAGATAGATGAGTTGGACGAAAGGGATTTACTTCAAGTATTTCCGCTTATGACCACATCAAAAATAGTGTTTTACTTTTGGTTTCTAAACTGTCTGTAACAATTAGTTCTTTTAAGTATTCATTCTCTCACATAAGATCCTTGCTAGTATGAAAGCCATCTTTATTCCCTTCCAATATTTATCACAGTGGCATACAAATATCAAGTGGCCTCTAAATATTTGTTCAGGACCCTGGCTGTTAAAGATTATTTGCAGTCAACTGCTAACATAAAAGTTGGCAGTTCAAAGCTACTTGGTAATGTTGTGGAAAAAAAGGCCTGGCAATATGCTTCTGTAAAGATTAAGGCCAAGAAAACTCTATGCAACAGTTCTACTTTCTAAGACATGAGTCACCATGAGTGATCAACTGTTGATCAACTCTACAGCTGTTTTTTTTTTTTTTTTCCTTAATATTTGCTCAATAACTACAGCTGTTTGCTCTAACCCTTCTCAATTATAAATTTGTCAACACTTAATCTAAATAATATGCTGCAGAGAATTTCTACAATAATACACCCTGTTTCAAAGAGTAGTTTAAAGAAAGTAAGCATTTTCTGTATGTTAAAAATAATAAAAAATGAAAATAATTGTCTTATTTCAAATATAATCTATCTCATGCCATATTTCATCAACAGATTATATTGTACAAACTGAGTATTTTTTTTTCTTTTTCCTCTTCAGTTTTCTAAGTGACTTTAATGTCTTAATTATACATTTAAAACATTCTAATGCTAAGAGAAATGCATTATTTTATATTATCTAACCCTTTTTCTATCACTGTAGACTGATTGCAGATGCTCATGATAAGGCTATAAATAAAATATATTTTACCATAAATGAATTGGAAATAAAAATTTATTTTTATATTATGCAACAAAATCTGCATATGAACAATAACTACAAAATTATTCAAGGAGGAGACTCTACAAATAACTAATCAGGTAGACTTAATTGCTCACTAACATGCCATTAACTATATCTAGCCATTTCTTTGTTACAGCGTGAACCATACTGTTCACACTTATTTGTTCATAAAGACCTTGAAATTTCTGAGGTTGAGAATCATGTCATATTTTTCTCTGCATCCATTATGCCTAGTAAAATGCTTGGCATTTAATAGGAGCTCAAGAAATTTTTAAATTGATGAATACTTCAAATAGAAATTGCTGTGGTGTGCCGTTGCATTGATTCCAACTCATGGGAACAATACAGGACAGAAAAGAACTTCCTGCTAAGCTTTTCTAGGCTGTAATCTTTACAGGAAACTGAGTATGTATTAGAGATATAGGATACATTGTAACATCATCTTTAACAATAGAGACATTACTGTATTAACGGAATTACCTACCTGTATGTGATGTCCCTGTTAAAAAAGATTATATAATAGAGCCATCCTCAGTGCTTCACTTTTTCTAACAAATATAAAGAACTAATTCATTTAGAAGTATTATATTTAATATGCATCATATATATTTGCTGACATTTAAAAAGAAAAAAGCTATCCAAAGAATATAAAATAATTGATAACCAATTTAAAAATTTGTATGAAAATGTGTATGCTGGGTTTGATTGGTTTGCAAATAAATTTAATTTTATTTGAATAACATGAAACTACAAAGACAATGTTGCTCCAAATTCTTAATGTGTTCACATACAAGGCATGCATAGTCCAATGGAGTTATTTGTTCTGTTAAATGTCCAACTTTTGTAAAAGAATTTTAGCTAAGGAGGAGTTTCCAAGATGGTGGACTAGGCAGATGTGCTATCCAGATACTCTACAACAAACACTCAAAAAAAAAAAAAAAGGGAAATGGCTATGGATGACAATTTGAATCCCAGAACATCAAAGGAAAGGATAAAGAAGTAGATAAAATACCAATAAGAGGAAAAGATCGAACAAAACAGGGAACAAGAAGTCTAAAAATGCCAAACAGCACAGCATGACCTGGTTGCATTATTGCAAGTTGGATTCTGATTGGGGAAGGAACTGGGTAACTGGCTCCACTTGCCCAAGACTGCACCAGTACCATCATTAGTGATCAGGAGACCAGGGATGGGTCCTCCCACCTCACCCCACATTTCACAGTGACCAGAGGCACAGCCCTCCCCATCACCAGCCACCTCATGACCAGTGAAACTCTCCCCACAACCAGTGCTGACCTGCTTTATTCCCCCCACCCTGGCTTCATCTATCTATCTATCTATCTATCTATCTATCTATCTATCTATCTATCTGTTATTTTTCTGCTTAGTTCTTCCATCTTTCCCCACTTTCTATTCTTTTTGTTCCTTTCCTCTGTTTTGTTGTTCCTCTTCCCTTGCTTTGGTTTCTTTCTTTCTTTCTTACTTTTTGGATCCTGAAAATGGTGAGCCAAACCTCCCCCTTCTTGCTGCCCATGTGGTTAGCAGCACCTACTTCTATCTGGTCTGAAGTGTACACGTTGGCCAAAGGACTAATGCACTCCTGCACAGCCATGTTTGGAGGCTGGTACTTTCACCAGTACTAGGCCTTTTCTTTCTTTCTTTCTTTCTTTCTTTCTTTCTTTCTTTCTTTCTTTCTTTCTTTCTTTCTTTCTTCTTTTCCCTTCTTCTATTTCTCCCTATTCTCTCCCTTGTATTCCTCTTCTTATGTTTCTTTCTCTTCACCCCTTCTTTTATTTTTCTGTTTTCATCCCCTCCCTTGTAGTAAATTTCACCAATCACAAGCCCTCCATGGATGTGGTGTAACCTCTGCCAGAGTGAGCTTCGCATTCCTACTGCAGTTGTGTTTGGAGGCTACCACTTGCATCGGTCTTTTTTTTCTCCTTTTTCTTCCCTTCTCAGTTCTTCTTTCTTACCCCCTCTGATTCTTCTACATCCACCTGCCTTTCTTCTTCCTCTTCTTCCTTTTTCTCTTCCTTTTTTTCTTCCTCTCATTTTTTGGGGGAATCCAGTTGAGAAAGTACCTCACCAGATCACCCCTTTCCCTCCCCTTTTTTTTCCCAGTCACTTTTTCTTTGTTTTCCCTCTCCTGCCTCCCTTTTCCTTCTCTATACCCAGTAGTTGGGAACCAGCAATCCTACCCAGCCATACCCACCTACATCTGCTTCCCATAAACTGAATGAGTGCTGCCAACCACTCCAGCACTACTGCACATATGATGGATAGCAGCCAACATCCACCCAACATACCCACAGCTGCTCTGCAAGATCACTGATTAGATAATCAAATTCACACTCCCACTTACTACCAAATCCACCCAGAGATAGATGGTAAACACCTCAGTGCTGATAAACTATTAACAAGAGTAACACACTTGCCTAGTTGCCTGGCTTTATTAACACAGACAAAAAAAAAAGAAAATCAGGGTGAAGAAACCTAGCATACAATCAACAAATCAACACAATGACACTATAATGTCTCAGAAACAACAGACAACTTCAAACTCCAAACACACACACAAAAAGACAAGATGACTCAAGCACATGATCAAAATACAGTTACAGAAAATCCTCCAGAAGAAATGCTAGTGGAAATATTTGGTAAGGAGTATATAAGAATTATTTTTTGTTGTCTTCCAAGGATTGAGAAAGTCCACAGAACCCACAGACAAAATCTTAGAATAATTAAAAAAAAAAAAAAAAGACATTGACAAAATGGAAAATTATAAAGCATACAAAAACAGCAAATATAAATCTAAAAGATTAATACTAAAATGTCAGAAATACATAATGCATTGGAAGGACAAAGGAATAGAATTGAATCAATGGAACAGAGAATTAAGAAGACTGAAAATACAGCTCTCGATACTAATCTGTTAGAGGAACAATCAGTAAAAACAATGAAAAAAATTCCTAAGAATGATGTAAGACAAATTCAAGAGGGAAAACATGAGTGACTGGACATCCAGAACTGGAAAAGGCAAAAAAAAAAAAAAAAAAGGTATAGAAGGAAGAAGTTGAAACTGCCCTGAAGGAAGTAACCAGAAAAAGAAAAAAAAAAAAAAAAAAGGCACCAAGAAAATTGTCCAAGATTTTTTGGAAGAAAATTCTCACATCATGAAAGATGAGAAGATATGCACTCAAGAAATTCAGTGAATCCTAAATAAGATAGACTCCAAAGAAAATCACCAAGTAATACCACAGTCAAACTTTCCAACACTAGACAAGGAAAGAATCCTGGAAGCACCTAGGAAAAATGAAAAGTCACCTACAAAGCAGAACTTTCTACAAAGTAGAAATTATGTAGGCAAGAAGGCAATGGGAGCAAACCAAAACCAAAGCTACTGTCACTGAGTTGACTCCAACTCCTAGCAACCTCCATTGGGTTTCCACAGTGGTAAATCTTTACAGAAGTAGATTGCCTCATCTTTCCTCCACACAGTGACTGATGGGTTTGAACTGTCAACCTTCTGGTTAACAGTTGAATGCCTTAGGCCTGCACTAGCAGAACATCACATAAAACCTTGAGGGAAAAGAATTGCCACTCAAGAATTATATATGTATCAAATTTTTCCCTAAAATATGATGGTGGAATTAGGACATTCACAGATAAACAGAAATTAAGGGTATTTGCAAAAACCAGACCAACATTACAAGAAATACTAAATGGAGTACTTGGAACAGAGAACCAACAATGCCAGACAACTACAGAAAACTAATGCACACAAAAATATCACCTGTGAATCAACCCAAATATAGAAGTATCAAAAATAAGATAAACCTACAAGAATGAAACTATGGAATCAGAAATCCAATTTGTAAATTATGATAACTACAAAGCAATAAAAGGGAATAAAAGATGTAGCTCCACAACTTCCAGATAAAGAGGAAATCAAGATGATATAAAGATAGTCTGGACTATTTTAAATTTGTGAAGATAATAAATTACAGAATAATCTCAAAGATAATTAATAAACCTTCACATCAACATAAAAAAGAAGAAAATTATAAAATCTCAGTAAACC